AAATGTTGCAATCGAAAGGCAAAGGAGAAGATCGAATAGGTTTTGAATAGATAGGTCGCACTGTGTTCAAGGGCTTACAATCTTTGAGTAAAATGCACATCTATAGGCTTTCCTGCATAACCGTTTATTTCTCTATCATTGATTGCCTCCTTATAAAGTGATCATGCAGTGCAATCCCTTTTATTTTAGCTTAGATGTTAGCATGGTTGCCTTCCCGGCCCTCGATCCAGACCTCAATTCGACTGTCATCACGCGCACCTGGGTCAGTTCTGCTAAGCTTATTACCTACGGGTTTCATTTATTCTAGCTAGCTCTCAGGCTTCCGTCACACTCATGTCAACCGGGAAAGCACAATGTCTTTCCTCAAACTATTTTTGTAACCTACTGGTGTGGGTTTAGTTGTACAAGCGATTGAACGACTGAATTGAGACGTCATATTGTCCACCATCTAATTTTGACCCAGCAACTCAAAGCGCTTTTATTTGCTGACAATATAACCTTATAGAGTTAGTGCATTCCAAAAAAGTCATTTCTTATTAAATTTTGTGCGTTTACCCTCATCCTAACTACCGAGTTGATATGAGTATTGTATTTCTTCTTCTTTTACTTATTTTCGCATCACTATCGTCCTTATATCAGCCTTTCTTAAAGGTCATTTGAGGAAAGCCAAAGTAAGGAAGCATTCATTTAATGTTGCATGAAAAGCATAACTCCCTAGCAAAAAGGATTGCTTATCTATCAAAGTAGCCACTCAGAAAGGGTAGCTAAGACCGAATTTACTGATTTTATTTAAGATCACAAGGATTCACTTACCTGAATGAATCATTTACGCAACGGAGTAAGAGGTAATCTACCGCCGTATGGTCTTAAAAGCAGAATTTAAGGGAGTATGCACATGATTCTAATTGCATTGCTCACTACATCATCGACTGGAAGATAGACACACTCCTCTCTTGCATTAAATCACCTTTATTGCCTGTAAAATGGGTGAGTATTTGATAGTTGGAAAAGAGATAGAGGTGACTCGTGAAAAATCAAGTATTACTTGTTAAAATGTCGTCTACCACAGATTGAAATTATTACCACAATAAGAAAAATATCACATGGGGCATATTGTCACCTAACTCGACGGTAAGGGGCAAAGCAGTCGTGTCGAGTTGCTGCCACAGCCTCTATTAAAGTGCGTTGTTCTGTAATGTAGTATTCGCCCAGATATGCCACATCCAGATTTAAACGGACTTAGCCTACTTCGGCTTAAATCGACTTAACGGCTACATGTAAAAGAGGTGATGCTAATACTTTTGATTGTTTGCTTCATCTTTGAAGCAGTCATATATCTTCTCCAAAAGCACCCTCTAGCCTATCAGTTATGGATTCGTGGTTGCCATACAATACAGGCCTTTCTGCA